AGAGACAAGTTTCATGTACTTTCTGTGTGCTATGTCCTTGGAAGGGTGTCCCCTTCCAATCAGGAAACTTGATTCATTTTATCCATATATCTGAGGACTGTGGAGACTTTATTCGTATATTTGTGATAATTTTCAAGTCTATTCTTAATGATAACTCTTTAATTCCTTTGATTCTTATAAATTAAGCTTCTAACAACCAGAACTGCAGAGGTCAATTAAGCATGGGTTCTCCTGGTTTTATCCAAGGAGAAAAATAAAGGGAAGCCATAAAATTGCAGTTTGAAAGCAAAGCACACCACAGTGTTAACTATTTGGTTTTTGATTTTTGAATGTTAGACCGTGGGAAGGTGTTACTTATGACCAGTACTTGCCGATAATGCTGTCTTTTGATTTGAAAGCCAGTAGGGAAGATAATCCTTGAAAAAGGAAAGGATAACTAAAGTAGATGATTTTGTTCTTTGTATCCCTGCACATCTCCTGACAGCTCTACTGAGTGAAGTTGGGGTAAATGTGGCTGTCAGAAGCTACTGAGAAGCTGCTGGGTATAACGTGTCTCACTTGGAAAACTAGTACTCAAATGGGTGCCAAAGGTCAAATGTAATGAGATAATTATCCCTGTTTGTGTCAATGTCATTATTTGAGCTGATCCTGAATAATAAAGCCTTTTTACCTTATCTGATGTCCTCTTCTGAGCTTTTTGCATTAATGTAGAAGCATTCTACACAAAAGAACTATAGTAGTAATCAAGATTCCCTTCTACTTGTTCATTGAATAAAATTTGTTTATTCCCAAGGATATGATCTAGTTCAAACTGAAAGAGGTTTTGTTTTAATAAAATGCATCTTGCTTGGTCAGACCTTGAGCACTTAAGATGGCTTGGATTACTTGATGAAGGAGGGTGGAGCGATGTAGTTCTTTTTCTAAACAAGTATTTCCAGCCCAAGCTTTTCCATTTGAATACACTCCAAGCACTATTGCTATGATGCTGGATTAGTTTCCTTTGGGCTGTTTTAACACAGGCCCTTAATTTACTTTTTTGAGGGTTCACTAATTAATCCTTTAAAATGTCTCTTTTAATCTTGTTTGCCCTTTAACTGATGATAATCAAGACCATTTGTAGCTAACCCTTTTGGACTGGCAGAGGGTCTGCTCAGCCCATCACCCCCATACTCAGCCTTAATAACTTAAAATTTCACCAAAACTTTTGGGACACCCTGTATAGGAGGCATTTTTTAAAACCTCCACTGTGTAATATGGATGCCTAGAGGTAACTTTTTAAGTGTGTATATATGTGTGTGTTGCTTAAACCCCCAACTTGAAATTAGCCTATGGCCGTGGTCTCTTGTAAGTCACATATCAGTTAAACATGTGCTTTTGGGAGCCTATCATAGCAAACTCACTGCTGCTTTTAGATCTGTTTTTCCTGTTTTCCTACTACCAAGATTGTCTGGACTTCTTTCACACTGCTTCTTTTTTTTTTTAATTAAATTTATTGGGGTGACATTAGTTAATAAGATCATATAGGTTTCAAGTATACATTTCTGTGATACTTGAAACCTATATTATTAGCAGAAATAACAGGATTTTCTATCACTTTGGACAACAAAACAGGTCCCTACTACTATTATGTCTATACTCAACACGTACAGACTTTCCTCATCATTATTCCTTAAATACAGTGTAACAACTATTTATACAGCATTTCATTGTATTAAGTATTATAAGTAATCTAGGGACTTGAGCACCCACAGATTTTGATTGGGGTGGGTGGTCCTGAACCAATCACTGGCAGTATCCTGAGGGATGACTGTACTAGAGAAAATAAGTTATTGTCCTCTTTGTGGCCATTAAGTACAGATGGTTTCTGCTTCAGTTTTATAAAGGGCTGAATGTAGGCCCAGTTGAGCTCTTGTTTTCATATCTCACTGCTTCTCACACAAGCCTTCATAGGAGATTCTTTGCCTGGCTAGGTTTGGATCATGACAGATCATGAATTAACCCCAGTTACTCATTAAATTTGGGGGAATTATGGAAAAACCTGCATTATTCATTAGGTCCTTAGATATTGGTTGGAATTTATAGGCAGGCCAAACACAACATTTTGTTGAACATGAGGTTGAGTGTAATGCTTCATTAGATCTAATGCCAGGAATATAAGCCCAACTTGTCATAAGGGACCCGTTTTGTTGTCCAAAGTGGTAGAAAATCCTGTTATTTCTGCTAAAAACTGTAGAAGTTGTTAAAGAATGATGTAAGGTAAAATCGGCCTTTTTTTAAAAAAAAAAATCACCTGTGCATAGTAAGCACAGGTGATTAGAATAGTATGCCTATAGCAAGTATGTACAACACAAAGAGGGTTTGTACTATTAAAGAATAGGCTTGTTCCATCCTAAAAGCTCATCCCTCCCACTTCCCTGCTATGCCAAGAAAGAGGATTTCAAAGATATGTAACCAGGTTCTTTCTTTTGAATTTCAAAGGTTTAATATTTCACTTATACCCCATTTCTCTTTAATTTCCTTAATTTGTGTTTCGACATTCTAAATATTCTATAGTCAAGCCATTTTGTGGAATATGAAGAGCGCGTTTCAAATGCCTTTGATTAGAAGACGTTCAGTTCAGCCAGCACTTACTTACTCATCATCTGGGTGCCAGGCCCTGTGTGGGGCACCTGGTCTGCAAAAAGTCCTTCCCTTTATTTTCACTTGTCAAAGGATTCACTTTATCTGGGGCACTTCAGTAGGCTAAAGTCAGCATTTGAGAGAAACAGGCAAAGATCAGATTTTCAAGTCTTTTGACTGAGGTGGTGAATAGCTGTTGTGTAGCAAGTACTGTCTAGATGTAGACTCTTCCTTCCAGAACGTCATTCAACTGCTGCTTAGAGCACCTTTAACTTTTCAAAGTAAAATGCTTTTCTTATGCATGTTTTCATTATATTCTTTACAACATTATAAATGACAGTTAAAAATATGACTTCGAAAGCCACGTCTGCCTAGCATTGAATCCAAGCCCTAGCTGTATGACCTTGAGCAAGTTCCTTAACCTCTGTGAATTGGCTTCCTCATCTGTAAAATGGGATTGGGTGGTTATTACACATACAGCTCTTAGGACAGTGCCTGGTACACAACAGCTGACATTTATTAAACAATTAAAGTTAGAATTATTCTCATAAGGTAGGGAATGCAGGAGTTATTTGGTAAATGGACATTAAGGTTTAAATAACTTTTCAATTTTCCTAACTCATTCCTGTCCCCTTTTTACTGCAGCTGTGGTCCTCAAAGGTATATTGCCTGGGCCTCCTAGTCCTAAGACTTTTCAAAAGGAGCCAGTAAGCGTCTGGTGGGGGGAATCTCTAGTACCTCATAAGTTTGAAATTAATGACTCTTTCCCACCAGGTAAACATGAAAAGTATAAGTTATTTTATGTATGGCCTCAGCCACTGTTTAAAGAGGCTATAATTTGCAAATCTGTATCCTGGACTCTAAAGCAAGCCAAAGCCTTTGCTCACAAAGCCCACCCTCCCATTTCCTGACTGCTGCCCTCCAGCTCTGTTATATTGTGTAAGACATGCTCACCTTTGGGAAGGAAGCTGCAGCTGCCAGGCCTTCAGAGCCAGTACTTGGTCACTTGTTAGGCTTTTGCATTCCCTGGCTAGTCTGTAGGCAAATAAAATCAAAGAAGTGCTCAGTTAGTAGCTCTGATCTTGTAGGATATGAGTCAAACATTTGGCTGAGGAGTATTATGTAGACTCTAGATCCTTTATGACGCCAGTAATAGTTGTTTCCAGGCCCTGGCCGGGTGGCTTGGTTGGTGTGTTTTCCTGTATACTAAAAGGTTGTAGGTTCGATCCCTGGTCAGGGCACATACAAGAATAGGTCAATGAATGCATAAATAAGTGGAACAACAAATCGATATTTCTTTCTATCTCACCCACCCCTTTCATCTCTCTAAAATGAAATTTTTAAGAAAAAATATTTAAAAATAATAATACTTACTGCTGTTGT